TGTGGAGAGGCCAGAAGCGTGAACGTCTGGCGGATGCCCTCCGCCCGACAGAAAGCTCGCAGAAGGTTGGAGGAAAACTCTCCACCTCTGTCCGAGTGCAGACTCAGAACAGGAAAGTCAGAGCCGAAACTCTCTCTGAGCTGGAGGCGAGCAGCGCGGATCCAATCGATCAACACCTCAGTGACCTCACCCTTGCGGCGCAAGGGGAAGACCGTGTTGTAACGCGAGTAGTCGTCAACAACCAGCAGGAAGTAACGCTCGTGACCCTGTCCACGGACGCGGGCTGGGCCCCACACGTCCATATGAAGAGTCTGTAGGGGAGCCTCTGTCGGAGGAAACTCGGAGGAGTGAGGAGCGGCGCGCTGCCGGCCCTCGACGCAGGGAACGCAGGTAGGGGCAGGTCCCGGAGGAAGGGGAGGGAGGGAGGGGGGGAGAGTCTCGTGAGACAGGAGGCGACACGAACAGGGGGCAGACTCAGGGCCAGACCGGGACGCTGCAGCAAACACCTGACCCGACGCAGCTACCTGACCAGTCGCAGTGACAGGAGGAGACTCAGTGGTAAGGGTGTACAGGCTGGACCCTGGCCGACGGGTGAACGTGGCCAGGTGGCGGCCCGTCCGAGCACACGTGCAGTGCGTCACACGCTGATAGGCAGGGGTGAACAGGTGAACACCCCCATCCTGGAGATCAGCACCCGCCACCAAGTTCGTAGAGAACGAGGGGAGGTGAAGACCAGACAGCGAGCCGGACGGAGCCGCAGGACACGGGAGAACAGTGGAGGAACGGGCCACAACTGGTCCCCCAGAGGGGTCAGCCAGAGAGACTGCCACTGGCCGACTGAGCGGCGAGAGGGTGGTCCCACAGGGACTACCCCAACGTGTGGCCGCCCCTGCACCATGCCATATGCGAGGCCCTACTCCTCACTGCCTCGCCCCGTGCAATTGCTCTCGCGCGCCCCCTAGCGCACCGCTTCCTGGCCACGGCGCGCGAGGCGTTTGAGCGCACGGGGGCCATGCATGAGAAGTACGACGGCAGGCAGAGGGGTGCCGTGGGAAGTGGAGGCGAGTACAACCCACAGGTGTGCCTCCTTTGCATCTCCTTGCCCGCTTTTCTTCCGTGCTCCTTGCGTGTGCCTAAGACCTCTTGTTTGTATGTATTGCATCTTTCTAACTGAGCCCAACCCCCAGTATGGTACTGTAATTAGGTTGCCACCAAGTTTGTTTCAATCCCATGTCGGTCTGCATTAAATTCAGTGGCATGCAGCATACAGCAATCATGACCACCATGTTGTGTGTAATGCACCGCCACATTGCTGCTCACACTGAATATGTCTTCGTCTGGCAGGTTGGATTTGGATGGACGAATGGCGCTGTCCTGTCACTCTTGGATCTTTTCGGTTATGAAGAACTTTGACGGGGGATTTTGTTCTGTTTTGTTTTGTTTTTTTATCCGTCAAGATACCACATGTAAGCAGAACAGTGTCTGAACAGATTGGGTAGAAAGAATCTAATACAGTTCCTTTCATTCTTATCATTGGTGTCACTTAGGGGATACGAGTTGCATCCACAAACGGGTACATGCAAATTCTTCTCCTGGAAACTCGAATGCAAGGGGTCTCGCCTCGCTTCTTCATGCCCATTTTATTGATGTCCAGCGCTCTGATTCGTGCATTGGGACCATTACTCTGCCTACATTTCTGATCAAGGGGCACTCGGCGAGGTGTAATCGAGCGAATCCGAGATTAGAGGGCGAACCAAGCCGGAGGTGCGGAAGGAAGAGGAGAGACGCAAGACGTGTTTGGGGCGAGAGGGCACGGATCTGGCAAGAAGAGGAAGAGTGATGGGGGAGGAGCAGCCAGCGGAAGGCGCGGTGGAGAGCGTGTTCGGGCAGGATGTGACTCACGGCTACGTCAGCAACGGCGACGTCAAGCTGCACTACGTGCACTGCGGCGCACCGCACGGCCCGCTGGTCCGTGCGCCACCTCTTCCACTTCGTCAACGTTTCTCCTCCCAGACCCCCAGTCCATCCTCCACCACATACGCACGTCTGATTCTCTCCCGCTGTGCCTTGCGTGGATTCAAATGTCCCCCGGCAGCTGTTGTGTCTGCACGGCTTCCCGTCCTTCTGGTACACGTGGAAGCACCAGTTCCACTTCTTCGCCAGGTGCGTGCCCTCGCGCCCCACGCTACAGCCCCTCGCCCGCTGCACTCTCACCGTTCCTTCAACTCAATCCATGCGCTTTATCCTCCCTGGGTTTGTTTTCTCCTCCTTCCGCCCCGTGCGGAGGGCAGTCGCGGCTACCACGTGGTGGCGCCGGATTTGCGCGGCTACAGCTGGTCAGGCAAGCCGCCAGACGTTGCGGCGTACAGCCGCGCGGCGCTGCTGTCGGACGTGGCGGCGGTGGCGGCCCACTTCGGCGTGCGGGAGGACGCGGACGGGCAGGCGCGCAGCAAGATGGTGCTGGTAGGCTGCCCGCGGGTCGTGTGTGGGGGTAGGGTGGTGCCGTGAACTCAGCCATTTTAGGAAGCAAATCAGAGTGCGTGGTGCTGCATGTCTCCGTGCCCTCACGTTGCTCCCCTGCATGTCGCGCGTGCATGGTGGTGCGAGGGCGAGCAGGTGGGGCATGACTGGGGAGGCAACGTGGCGTGGGAGTTCGCGCACGACCACCCCGCGCTGCTGCACGCGCTCGTCATCTGCAACATGCCGCACCCCTCCGCCTTTGGTGACGCTCTGCGCTCCAAGCCCACGCAGATGCGGCGCAGCTGGTACATCTGTGAGTCCCTGCGCATCCCCGCCCTGTCCCATGCGCCGTTGCTCCTCTCTTCATTCCACCACCCCCGTGTTCCACGCACTCACGCACGTCCCTCCCCCCCCTCCCCCGTGCGCAGTTCTCTTCCAGCTGGGCAGCCTGGGCGAGGCCTTCATGTCGCTCAGCAAGTCAGTGCCGCACTACCCATGCCATGCATCGCGTAACGCGCCGTGTCATGCATCTCTTGCCGTCTCCGTTTACATCCTCTTCTCTATCCTTGTCGCCGCCATCCCTCCTGTCTTTCCTCTTCCCCCTTTCTCATGTCCGTGCCCGCCCCTCCCTCCGCTCCCTCGTGCATGCGTGTGTGCGCCATGTGGTGCGCTTACTGTGCGCTGTCAGCTTCTACATGCTGCGTGGCGTCGTCCAGGGCGACCCCAACGTGCCGCAGTCCCAAGACGACGTGCAGCGGTGCGCAACGGTGCAAGAGGGGGGTGGGGGGGTTGGTGGCGCGGGCGGGGGGAAGAAAAGGAGGGATGGGTGTGCACACGGATGGGAACAGAAGGAACGAGGGTGGAGAGTTGTCGCTTTGCAGGAAAAGTGGGGCGTTGGGTGGGGTGGAGCAGGCGTTGATGTGGATGGGGGCAAGCAGCCCATGGGAGAAGGGATTGTGGCATGCGGGAGGAGCTGGATGGCACGCGTGCGCCTCTGGCTTTGGCGTGCCGGGTGCTGTTCATGAAGGTGGCTGGGGCGCACATTGAGTGCCATGCATGAGCCAGCAAGCCGTCCACTGACCATCGCATTCCCATGTCCCGCGTGCCTCCGTTCTCCATCCCGGGCGCGCTGACGTGCGCCATCAACCTGTACCGCGCGGCCTTCCACAAGCACTGGCTGCGCCCCGCCACCTCCCATGCCACTGTATGCCCGAATGCACCTCTGCCCTTTCCCATCCTCGCCTGCTTCATCCGCCTCTCTCTGTCGCTTGCTCTTCTGAGAGAGCTCATATCTGTGCGCTGAGCTGGCAGCAACATCATGGTTGGCACCACCTCATGTAATAACGTGCTGCCTTTCCCCCCACCCCATGCTGCACAGGTGGAGGTGCCGGTGCTCATGCTGTGGGGCGATGACGACTGGGCCTTCAACCCGGACCTCTCCCAGCCGCCACCAGCCCTCGTGCCCGACTGCCGCGTTGTTCACTTTCCAAAGGCACGCCCCTTCCCCGCGTTCGCGCTCTGTCTGCACCCTCTCCGGCCAGCGTCCTTTTTTTGCCCATATGTGAACACAGAGAGTCACAAGCTTGCATCAACCAGCATTCACCTCTCAAGCTTTATTGCACACATGCAGATGGTGCGACACATGCAATTGACGGCAATGGTGTGTGGTGTGTGGTGCATGGCAGGCGTCGCACTGGGTGATGTGGGACGAGCAGGAGCAGGTGAACGAGCGCATGCACGAGTTCATCACCGCCACCACGCACGCCACCCCACCCAGCCCCTCGTCCGAGCACAGCAGGTCGCGCATGTGAGTGCAGCGCACTGCTGCTTCTGTGCTTGCTGCATGGCCCGTGTCATCTCTCCTGCACTCTCACTCCTCCCTGCAGCTCGCGGCCCTCAGAGTGAGAGTGTGGATGGCGGTATGGTTACCATTGTACATACGGTACATGGAGAGGACTGCACTGCATGCATCATTCCCTCATGCTTGCTCGCCCTGCACTGCTCCTTCCTGCTGCACTAGTGCAGGGTTGGAGGGGACTCCTAGTGGGATTGGCACTGTGGCTGGAATAGGGATGGGAGGGAGACAGGATGGATGGATTGCCCTCTGGTGAGCATGTGTGACGGTGATTATGTTTAGGAGTGAATTTGACACTCCCAAGACACGTGATGCTGTACATAGCTCCAAGCCAGGTCAACATTGATCCAGGTTATATCCACCTCTGCCACGTTGTTCGGCTGACGTTCACTACACGTTCTCTTCTGGCCTTCATCGTATGTTTCCAGTGACACCATAAGAGCTCCGCTGTGGGGATAGCTACCTGCATTTTCCGTCTCTATAATCCCTCATCCAGTTTGGCGCATGTAGTGCATTGTTGTGCCAAGTGATGCTAGCGTGAGCAATAAAAAATTCCACCAATTGAGTCAATACACAAGCAAGGCGAGCACGCCTAATTTCACACCAGGTTGAAAAATGTCAGCAATGATACGGTAGATGGCAACAAAGATTGGTAGTGGGGTGAGAGAGGCGGGTGGGTGGAGGTCTACGCCTTGGCAACGAACTCGACATCAAAGAGCAGCTCGGAGTTGGGGGGGATGATGCACGACCCTGCCATGAGACAGAGGGGCACACACGGTAGGTATCCCGCACAGCACACTGCTCGTTGTAACCACTGTATGACTCGGTTCTCAGCTCATTGCATTGCACTTCACGCAAGCACGAAACTTTACACCCACATTAGCGCTGGGCAAGAGCGTGAACATTCAACCGAGTGCAGGTCGCAAACCCAAAGAAAGCAGTGGATCCGTGACGCATGCCTCACCCTGAGGAGCAAGCCGCGTGCAGTGAGGAATGAGCAATGAGCAGGGGACGGTGAGCAGTGAGCAGTGAGGGGGAATGGTTAGGCAGGGCAGGGAGGCATGGAGCACTCTCACCTCCTCGGCACCCGGCACCTCTTGCACCGTACGCCAGTGATGCCGGGATGCGCAGCGTGCGCTTGCCCCCTGCACACGCGGGTAGCACGAGCGCGCATCACGTGATGAGCAGCACACGAGGAGCGCACAAAAAGAGCAGCAGCATAGAGGCGCATGCGGCGCAGCGGTGATGGGACACGAGGAGGGTGTATGAGAGTGCTGGTACCCACCGACGCGCATGGGGGGAATGCCTTCCCCGCCCACGATGCCCAGGTCCCACCCCCTGATCACCTGCGCACATGCCACGCACACACGGGGCAGCGGGGCATGGGGATGGGGTGCGCGGTGGCAGAGGGATGAGCGCCAGGTCATAAGGCCACTGCGCGCCACGCACTGAGTGCCGCCAGAGCCACTGCCCTGCCATGATGCCCGTGTGCCCCGCACACGCAGCAGCGAGCGGGAAGGCTCAGGCGAGCCACACGGCGGGCTCAGGTGCGCTCACAGTCGCAGTGCGGCAGCGGCAGCACACGCACCCGACCGCGCACACATGCATCAAGTGAAGCTGGGGAGAAAAGGGGGCGACGTAACCGCAAGGGGAGTGGAGGAAGAGCAGGGCGCGCGCGGAGGAGGGGCGGCACGCACCTCGCCGGCGCCGACGCGGAAGACGAGAGGGCGGCCGCGGCGGTAGCTGTTGTCGAAGACGGTGCCGTCCAGCAGCGTGCCGTTGTAGTGCGCCTGTGGGGGGGACGGACACGCACTCGCACACACGCGCATGTCAACGCGCCATTAGCATTCGCGCACACGAGCCGCACTACAGAATAACTCCCCGCCCTGCTAGCGTGCGATCATGAATTGAGCAGCCCCTTGGTCCATGCATGGCGCCATGGCAGCCGGCTCTGCGCGCACCTTGATGAGCATGCCAGCGGCGGCCTCCACGCCGTCGCCCACGGCGCTGTCGCAGAACTGCAGCCCCGACGGCGTCGCCGTCAGCTCGCAGCTCGCCGCCCTCGCCTCGCCCGCCGCCGTAGTCGCGCCGCACGCGAGGGCCAGCCCCGCCAGCAGAAGCGACCGCCGGTCGGCCTGGGGGGGCGCCGCCGCGACGTGCTGCGCGCTCGATGACGAGTCGGCGGCTGCGACAACGGGCGCGCGTGGTGCAATGCGGCGAGGAGCGGTTGTGGCGATCGAACGGCTCGCGGGAAGCAGGGAGGTTCCGAGACGAGACAGGGGGGCAGAGGCGAGAAGATGAGATGAAGTAGCCATGGCGGACGGGTGATGGATGGGCGCGCTGTGAGGTTGTGGTGAATATGGTGGCTGGGTGGCGTGGCTTCTTGGATGTGCTCTGATCCAATTCCACCTTACACAATTGAAGCAGCTGGTCACGTTTTCGTCGCTGTAGTAGATGATGCGTTAAGGAATTGCGAATAGCGCTACCATTTGTTTAATGAATGATGGTTAAGCTTGAGTTGTGGTCAACTCCACCTCGGCATCAAGTTACCTGTCTATCTCTCATCATTCTCTCTGATGGACACTGCCGTTACATTTCCAACCTTGTGCATGCTCTCATGCATGAACTACCGTACTTGCAATCTAGCCTCCGACTGCCGATTGGGGGTGGGCGTCTTTCGTCCACCATTAGGCTACCACCATGCCTACTGCAGAAAAAAAAAGGCAACACATAGAGCGAGGAGAGACACTCCCAAGGTCCTAAAGTCTAAGCTAGGTTAAAGGTGGCGGCAAAATGCTGCTGGGCCTGCTGTCAGTCAGTTGCCTAGTCGTGCCTCAACTGCAGTATAACGGCCTGCCCCTGCCCACCACACAGCGAATTGTGCAAGCACTGTACCAAAGCAAGGCAACCAAGGGTGGGGCGGCAGCTGGTGAGGAGGTGCTGGTGACAGTTGCACGAGCATGAGTGGGATTCGCGGAGTGCTGCACAGGGAAAATGGATTGCAGGGCGCATGCACACATGAGGCGACGGCTGGAAAGGGACAACCTTCTTCAAATCGATGGAGCAAAAAAATATGAATAGTGCAAGGAAAAAATGTGATGATTACCTTGCCATGCATATGGCTCAGGTTGGAGGGCGTCCAGGCACGGGAGCCGTATCCGCCTTCCAGACGATCTCTTCCAGATTAACAGCTGCTCGTGCTAATTCTGCTGCCCTGCCTGCTCCCTGATGTCCTTGATGCAAACCTCTGCGCCCTGGGCAGTGTTCTTATCTGCTGCCATGGCTCACTCTAAAAGCCTAACACTAGCCCAGAACTATGCTGCACTGCTTCAGGAAAGCCTCTTTGCACAAGGCACGCCGCATCTCCTCGAGTGCGCCCTGTCATTCCAACTCTGGCTGCCTGCCCTAGCTGTACACATGCCACCGCTCAAGTAGCTGGACTCCATCCTAAGAGTCGTCACAAGGATAAATGCCCCCTGCACCGCACATGAGCACGTTGGCTCCGCAAACAAAGCACGCTATGAACATGTGATACGATGTGTGTGCCCCACGCATCATCATGCTCAACAGACTCCAAGCCGCACACTCACACACGAGCACACAACACACACTCACAAACACACACACACACACAAGAGAGAAAGCGAGCTTCCATGCATGTCACCATGCAGAGCACACCAGCGACACCTTGCCATGCTAGTGCGAATGTGCTCTCAGGAGCAGGTCGAAGCCGGGCCCAGCTCTCATCCCTTGCTCGTTTCCACAAGCACATACGTCAGAGGGTTAGAGGAGCGGCGGGGAAGGGCGTGTGGGCGCGTTGGAGCGTGCAACGGCAGCGTGGCCTTGCACAGTGAAGGTGTGCAGTGCCACACATGCTCACGTGGAGTCGTCTTGGTGCGGCGGCATGGACACCCACCACGACGGCAGCAACACGTTGTTACCGCCCCCATTGTGCATTGTGCCGCCCTCCTCACCGCCCTGCCGCTCTGCCTGTGGCTCTTCCAGCACGCAGTTTCTCAGCCTTCCCCTCTGCTCGCTCAATCGCCTCGCCTGCTGCTGCCGCTGCTCTCTCTCTGCGTCCTCCTCCTCCTGCTGCTGCTGCTGCTGCTGCTGCTGCTGCTGCCACCGCTGACTGCCCAGCGCAAGCTCATCTTCCACGCCACTCGCCTGCCCCTGCTGCCGTTGCCGCTTCCACCAGTGCCCTCCCCCTTCACCCTCCATAGTACGCATCCCCTGCCTGTCCCTCGCCGCATCCAGCGCTACACCTAATTCCTGCTCTCTCCCCGTCTCCTGCTCCTGCCGCATCTCCATCCCTGCCCCTACCCCATGTTCCACCCCCCGCCATCCCCTCGACGTTCCTCCGCCCCACTGCTCCTGCGCGGAGTCCAGCGCGCGCGCGTGCATGTCCGGGAGCCGCGCGCAGGGCACCTCCCGATCGCCGCGCGCCATCACCACGTCCTGCTGCTGGAACTGCTGCGCCCATCCCCCTGCGTGTCTTGCCTCCCCGCCATCCTCGCCAACGCTGCCCTTATCGTGCCACGACGGGAACGCCGCCGCATCCCTTGCCTCACCGCAAGCCACCACCGCGTTGCTGCCGTTCTCTTGCTCCGCCTCCTCGACCACCATGGCTCCTCTACCGTCCGCCCGTCGTTCCAGATCATCCACCGCGCGTGCACCGCCGCCCGCCCTCGCCTCCCACTCCACGAACTCCCCCGATCCCTCGTCCAACCTGCCGCTCTCTTCGCACACGCCGCATTCCACGGCGTCACCATCGTCCCTACCGCTGGAATCTGCAGCGGCGTCCTCGTCGTCGTCGTCGTGAATCCACCACTCCGGCAGCCCGTGCGCCAACTCATACCCCGCCGTTGCCCCTCCGAACTGCGCCGACACCCCTTGGGCCGCACCTTGCGGGTCGTCGTCATCGTCACCCTGGCCGTGCGGCAGCGCCACCCACCATCCAGGCAGCACGGCGCCTCGTCGTCGTCGGGGTGGCGGCGTGGGGCGCACGTCCACGAACGTGGGGTCGTGCAGCCACCAAGAGCTGAATCCGCGACCGCCGGCCTGGTCGCCATCGTGTGCAGCCCCTGCGGGACTAAGATCGGCCTGCATTGCCGTTGCCACTCCGTCATCTTGCCGCAATCCGTGCTCGCGTAGCGGCTCTTGCGGCGCCAGCTGCGCCTGCACCGCCTGCAATTGCGGCTGAGGTTGCCCCCACGGGTCATGGAGACGCGCCAGTGTGACGTCTACGAGAGCGACACGGCTACCCGCGGCAGATGCCGCATGCTCGCGAGGAACGGCCGCGAGAGACGGCGATAAGGCCGACGGTGACCTCTCTAAACACGCTCGTGATGGAGCCACCTCGGCGTATTTGTCGTCACGCAAATCCGAAAGGCGCTTGTGAAAAATAATAAGTCAGCACTGCAGGAAGAGCTTGAGGCTAAGTCCACCTCCGGGACGGTCAAGATGACATGCGAAGCGAGAATAGACAGGTGCACTAAACAAAGTGCATGCGCCGGGCACAGGATGTTGCAGGTGAACGAATCAAGGTATGGAACGCAAGTGGTGTAGGGTTGAGCTGTTGGACAGGTGGATGAAGCGATGAAGCGGGGGAAGAAAGGAAGCAGGCGGGAGGGGCTGACGAAGATGAGCAACCGAGGGGAGGGTTTCCGCGATGACCATCACACCATGAGCAAACCTCGTTAGTGGAACATCACGGCATATGAGGAGCTTTGACTCACTAATGCATCTCCCAATCCATATCTTCGGCACTTGAGTTGACAAAAACATACACCTTATGTTTTCAACGCATGTTTCCATCTCTACCTGTAACTGCTACTAAGCAGTTTGGACGAGCGTGAATTGGGAAAATATCCAAGGCGGACAACATCAGCAATGCCATTCCCCCTTTTTTAATACAATGCCATTCAAATTACCTCATGAATTTTAGCATGTTACTTTGTTGATCAATATATGGTAAATATGTGGATTTGTCTGTTGGTGAGACATATCTTGTTTGGACTACAAACATACCTACCCCTAACTATCAACATTCCTGTTTGTCTGTTTTGTGTGAATTTCAAACATCTTTTGTGTGTCGTGTCTAAATGAAATTGTATATGTGTATTTGTACGTGTACGAGCGTGTGTGTGTTTATCTGTGTGTGTGTCTGTATGTGTGTGTATGTGCGTGTGTGTGTGTGTGTGTGTATGTGTGTGTGTGTGTGTGTGTGTGTGTATGTGTGGATGCACGCGTGCATACGTGCGCGTATGCGTGTATCTGTGTCTGGTTGAGTGTGTCTGAGCGTATCTGTGTGTGTATGTGCTCTCAGCAGTTTGTCGTTGACCTGAGAATTTTTAAGAGCAAGCGATCGAAGCCATTCGGACCTGAATAACGTCAAATATGTCAAATGTTATTTCAGGTTCTTAGGCTACAGCAAGTAGCACTCTAGGGAATACTACCCTTTTAGGGTTGCATACTTGTATCCCATCTTGATAGTCACAAACCATTCCGCTGTTTCAGTTTCGAACATGGTAACTTAGTAGGTTCGTTCCGATTGCGCTGCTGCCTCTCCGAGCGCACTGCCCTACTGCCCTACTGTTGCACTACTGCCACTGATGTGCCGCTGCTGCCGCGCTGCCCCTTACTGCACGATGCTGCCACTGCTAAGCGAGCTGCCCCGCGCGCTGCCCCGCGCGCTGCCCCTCTCTGCCCCGCGCTGCCGCCTGCGCTGCCGCCTGCCCTGCCCCACTGCGCTGCCCCGCTGCGCGGCCGCCTGCACTGCGCCGCCGCCCGCGCTGCCGCCCGCGCTGCCCTGCACTGCCCCCACCGCCCGCGCTGCCCCACACTGCCCTGCGCTGCCCCGCACTGCCCCGCGCTGCCCCGCGTTGCCCACGTTGCCGCCCCGCCGCCCGCGCTGCCCCGCGCTGCCCCACGCTACCGCGCTGCCGCCCGCAGCCGCGCTGCCTGCCGTCGCGCCGTCCTACCGAGCCGCGCCGCGCCGCCCTGCCTACTGCCGTGCCGCGCCACGCTGCCGCGCCGCGCCGCCGTGCCGAGCCACACCGCGCCACCCTGCCTACTGCCGCGCCGCGCCACAGTGCGGCTCTGCCTGCTGCCGAGCTGCTCACCTACTGCCGTGCTGTCTGTTCTCACTGTCCGTGCCTAGATCTGCAGCTCGGCCCTAGTGCTACTGCCTGACCTAGTTTCTGCCATGGCGACTATAACTGTCCTAGCGTTTGACGCAGAGGGGCACCTTATAGAGTTCGAGTCATGTCTAGAGGACCTGCACCTGTAACTGCAGAGTGTCACCAAGGACGATGTCTCGCTGTTTGAGCACACGCCAGGGTCCCTCAAGGCCCCCAAGCCTCCAGTTTAGCCTTCCCCTACTGCTGCGGAGGATGTGCAGAAGCGGTACCGGGCTGACCGCATTGCATGCACGCAGTGGACGGCGCGCGACGCCGCTGCTACACTTGCAGTCCGCGCTCACCTCTCGCCCGACCAGAGGGGCCACTTTCGCTAGGTGAAGTCGGCCCAAGTCAAGCGCTACTCCTCCCCCTCTTCTGCCACCCTAGGCCGTCTTGCGCTGCCGTTTCTCTTCCCTGAGCTGTCAGACTTCACCGCTGTAGCTAACCTCATGACCCATCTGCGCTCCCTTGACACTCGCTACCGTGCTGCTCTCCCGCCAGAGTATCTGGCTGAGAACCAGCCCCCCATGTACCACACTTTGTACTTCCTCGTGTCTCGCCTCCCTGACACCCTTCGTGCTGTTCAAGACCACTTCCTCTCCCTAGACCCCACTAGTCTAACTCTTGACTCGTTTGAGACCCGTCTCCTCGAGGCCGAGACCAGTGCCCACGCTGTCGCTGCCTCTCGTGGCACACCCATCACCTCCTTTTTTTAGGGGTGCCCCCCCTCCTTTCTTGCGTTCTCTGTTGCCTCTGCTGCTGCTGTTGACTTCCTTGGTGCTGAGGAGATTGGTGCGGGCGTCCGCTCCCAGGAGGCGCAACAGGGGTGGACGTAAGAGGAGCAGGGGTGGTGGGGATGGTGGAGGTGGCGGAGACGGTGGGGGGAGCGGGGGTGGTGGGGGTGACGGGGGTGGCGGGTGTGGCGGGGGGGGGGGGGGGGGGGGTGGGGGTGGTGGTCGTGGTGGACCTGGCGGGGATGGTGGCACCGGTGCGGCGTCTGGTGGAGCTACGTCTGGTGGAGCAGGTGGAGGTGGCGGTTCTGGGGGTGGACAGCAGCAGCAGCAGCAGTTGCGTTGGCAGGAGACTCCCTCGCCGCAGCACCTTCGTGAGTGGGTTGCTCAGCGGGGCTCCACAGGCGGTGGTGGCTCTGCTACTGGTCCTAGCCTGTACGTGCGTCACACTGGCCCTCAGGTCGGCGACGCCTGCGCCAAGATGGGGCACGAAGTAGCTCGCTGTTTCTGCCGCCTCGAGGACGCTTTTTGTGGCGAGTTCGGTAAGCAGGCCAGGGTCCCTGACTGGTTAGGATTGCTCAAGAAGGGCATGTCAAACATTGTATATGTTTGAGTTCTGTAGGCTGTAGTGGGTTTAGCCTTAGGGGGTACAACTTCTAGGGTTTCCTACTTGTACTCCCAATCTTGTTAGTTCAAACACTTCTCTCATTCTGACATGGTATTACGAGCCTAGGTTAGGAACCTAGGACCGAACGTTCCTAAGGGCCCACCGTTCCGCTAGTAGCGCCCTCGTGCGCCCTCTCTTACTCGCGCCCTCGTGCGCCTCGTTCCTAGTGCGCCCTCGCGCGCCCCGTTTGTCGTGCGCGTAGCCCGCTAGCCGCCCGCGCGCGGCCCGTTTTTCGCGCGCGTCGCCCGCTAGTCGCCTGCGCGCGGCCCTTTTCTCGAGCGCGCGACCCCCTAGCCGCCCACGCGGTCGACGCCGCCCACGCGTAGCCCACCCTGGCCTCGCGCGGCCCCTAGCGCAGCCCTCGTGCTGCCCGTCGACCGGAGCGCGCCGCCGCCTCGCCCTCGTAGGCCGCCGCCCGTCAGTAGGCCGCCGCCCACGCGTAGACCGCCGCCCGCACGTAGGCCGCCGCCCGCGCGTAGGCCGCCGCCTCGAACCACGCACCAGCCCGCCCTCTCTGCCCGAGCCGCGCCGCGCCGTCCTGCTCGAGCCGCGCCGTCCTGCCCGAGTCGCGCCGCCCTGACCGAGCCGCGCTGCCCTACTGTGCACCACCTGCAGCAACTGTTGCTCCTGCTACTGCTACTGCTACTCCTGCTACTGCTACTACTGTTCCTACTGCTGCTACTGCCACTATGGCCAGTCCTACCGTTCTCACTTTTGACGCTGAGGGCCGTCCGATCAAGTTTGACGTTTGGCTCGATGACCTGCACCTGTTCCTCCAGATCAATGCCAAGGATGATGTTTCCCTATTTGACCACACGTCCGGCGTAGCCCCCGCACCTGCTGCTACTGTTGACAGTACCGCTCGCTCCCAGTGGCAGACCCGTGACGCTCACGCTCGCCTAGCCGTTCGCAGCCACCTGCCGTTAGATGAGCGCGAGCACTTTGGCCAGCATAAGACCGCTAAGGAGCTGTACGATGCTGTAGTTGCGCGCTACTCCTCCCCTGCTACTGCTGCGATAGGCCGTCTCTCGCTGCCCTATCTCTTCCCGGATCTGTCCGCCTTTGCCACTGTAGCTGACCTCATCACTCACCTCCGTACTAGTGATCTCCGCTACCGTGCCACGCTTCCTCCTGATTTCCTCGCCAAGAACCCTCCCCCGATGTACCTCACACTCTACCACCTAGTCACTCGCCTCCCTGACTCTCTTCGCGCTGTCAGGGACCACTTTCTCGCCCTCTCTCCCACTGACCTCACTGTCGACCTGCTCGAGAAGGAGCTCCTTGCAGCTGAGACTAGCATTGTAGTTGTAGGTGCCTCTCGTGGCGACCCTCGCACTCCCTTCTTTGAGGGATGTTCCCCCTCCCCCCTTCTCCCCTCCATTGCATCTGCTGCTGCTGTCGACTACCTCGGTGCTGAGGAGGTCGGGGCTGCGTCTGCTCCTAGTTGGAGGCGCAAGGGCGGCAAGGGCAAGGGGGGCAAGGGTGGCGGAGGTGGAGGAGGGGGCGGTGGTAGTGGAGGGGGTGGAGGAG